TATAATTCATGAGCAATCATGGTTAAGTTTAAGGAGTTTTTGCCTTCCAACTTGAGGTCAGAGTTTGGAGCTCTAGTAGAGGAGGGGAAGATCATCTCTAGGACCTCCCTGCAAGCAGATCTGAATGTAGCGCAGACTGCTACACGTACTGTGTCCCCGGGCAAAGTCATGGGGCAAAACTCCTGGCTCCAGGTGTCGGCTATACCCCAGAGGTCCAGCAGATTATTCAGGAGCTACCATTTCTTGGGTCTGGTCTCTTCGCTGAGCAAACGGAATCTAGGCTGCACAGCTTTTCGGATGCTAGGGCTATGTTAAAATCATTGGACCTGCATACACCATCCACCCAATGCAAACATTTAAGCCTCCCACTCCCCCTCCATTACCCGTACCACCAGAGGCAGCATTCTAGATTTTTACTTCATTTAATTCTATGCTTTCTTTCACATATAGTGCCACCCCTGAACAGCATGACCTGTTCTGTCCTTCCGATTTATTTTGTGTCTTGACATTACATTATTTCATTAATTTTCCACATTTATTTCACTCATCTTTTTATTTAGACTTCTAGCATTTGTATATAAGTGCTTCACATACTTTTTTCACTTGACTGTTTCTCATCAGACATTCTGTCATTTTCCATCCTTTCCTCCTTATGAAGATTCAGAGAATCTCTATTAATAGATCCTCCCCTAAGCGCTGTTTCTGTACAAACCACATGCTCCTCCATACTCCTCAGTTTTCTTACAGCCTACACTTTTAATTTTAAGTGCCAGCAATCTGGTTCCATTTTGATTTGGGTGGAACCCATTTTTCTTGTACTGGCTCCCACTTTCCCAAATGTTTACCCAGGCCCTAATCTGAACCTTTTCTCCCTGCCCCGTTGTCTCATCCAGGGATTGAGACCCTGTAGCTTTGCCTATGTAACTGGCCCTGTGCTAGAACTGGAAGCATTTCAGAGAGTGCTACTATGGTGGACCTGGCATTGAGTTTCTTGCCTAGCAGCCTAAATTTGACCTCCAGGATGTCTCTCCTGTCCTTCCCTATGTGATTGGTGCCTACATGTACCACGACCACCAGCTCTTCCCCAGCACTACACTTGATCTAGACATCTTGAGAGATCCATAATCCTTGCATCAGACAGGCAAGTCATCATGCTGTTCTTCTGTTTGTTGTAAACCCGGCTATCTATTTTTCTAATGAACAAGTCCCCCTCATAACTGTTTTCTTTCTCTTACTAATAACTGTAGTTCTCTCCCCCAGAGAGGTATCCTCAGTGTGAGAGGATATCATGACAACATCTGGACAGAGGGGCCTGACTTTAGGATCATTTCCCTCTGTCCAGTTGGATTTTCTCTCTCTCTCAGACTTTGTTCATCCTCAGTAGCATAGAGGCTGTTGGACTGTTGGTGGGACAATTCTACTGAGTCCAGGGAAGTCTCATTTATACACTTCTCTGTCTTCCTTAGCTCCTGCAGTTCAGCCACTGTGGCCTCCAAAGCCCATACACCAAGAGCAAGGAACATTTTTTTGGTCAGTAGCCACTGACCCAGAGAAAAATTAGTTAGGGGCTCCTCACAAGCTAAAAACCCCAAAACCCTCCTCACTACTCACTGCATTTCAAAAAGAGAAAAATCAAACTTGTGCACTTAAATTGCCAGTTAAAACTAAGTGGAGTTCCATTTTATATTGTTTGAAAAGCTTATTGAGATTAAAAAAATGTCTTAAAATGCCTTGCTGTCCATGAAGATTTACAGACTAAACTGAGCAAACGTACCAGGAATTCAATCCTGGACGAAGATGTATTTTGGGAATGGGTTCAAAAACTGCATGCACTGATAAGTCCTGTTGTTAAATGGTTTACACTGCTTAAATCTGACCAGCCAAAAATGAGTAAAGTTCCTGAATATTTCAGGGAATTAAGCGATCATTTTGATAGGCTACTTCCCAAAAGTCCACTTACCAAACAAGAAAAACGGGATGTGATGAAAAGTTTTGGGAAAAAAAAAAAAAGATATGGCTCTAAAGACATTCACTATGCTGCAAATATTCTAGATCCAAAATTCAATGGTGAGTGCCTTACTAAAAATGAACAAATAAAGGAACTGAATTCATCGATAAATTAGTTGCAAGAATGTATGGCACTGATCACTCAGAAAAAGTCATAGCAGAGCTTGCAGGGTATCATGCTAAAGAAGGCTTTTTTTGAAAATCATATGTAACAAAATCAGCTGGCTCAGTAGAATGCAATAACATGGTATTTGCTATAGATCAAAATTAGGGAAAGCAGCGATCAACATATTGAATATGCCACCAGCAACGGCAGCAACTGAAAGATGTTTCAGTACTTACAGTATCATTCATAATGCAAAAAGAAACAAGTTAACACAAGAAAGGGCAGGCAAGCTGACATTTATAGCCCATAATATAAAGCTTCTTAAAAACCGAAATGATGCTACATTGAAATCCCCAAGAGAAAAAAGGAAACAGAACCAGAGAAATGAGGAAGAAGAAATTGATGATGCTGAAGAGAAAGAAGAGGATATATATGAGGAAGAAGAAGAGAGACATATATTTTTAACTTTCTGGATTGAATACGAATCTAATCAGAATCTGCACTTTCCGAATCTGACCCATATATTTCTATCCTGCAACAGAAGATTTGTAATAAAAGTTCTAGTAATTTAAATCTGTCTCTTTTTCTTTACTTTCCTGAATTTTCATTTTAACAATTGGAAACTTTCATGATTCTTGAAGTTTTATTAAAGAAAGACATTATTATAACTAGTAAAATTCTTTAAAAAACTATTTAACAAGTATTTAAAAGAAAATTCTCGCATTCGAGAATATTCTCCGAAAGTTTATTCACGAGAATTTAACATCACTATTTCACACCCTTATGTCAGAGCCCTCATACACTGTCTTCCATAAAGACTAGGTCCAGCTCAGCCCACACCCGGCTTTCCTCCCAAAAGTGGTCTCTAGATTCCACACTGAGGGCATTTTCCTTCCCATTTTTTACCCTAAGCCTCACCTGAAGTGAGAGGAACAAAGGTTGCGGTCAGTTGATGTCAGGCAGACTCCCACTTACTACATTGACAGGACAAAGCCCTTCTGCAAATCCTCGAAGTTATTCATGACAGACCATATGAAAGGGCTGCCAGTGTCATCACATCGCATCTCCTCCTGGATTATGACATGCATCCCCATGAGTTGTGATCTCGTCAAGGTTTCCCCTCCACCTCTCACAGTACATTCTGTGTGGGCACGCACCTCTTCAGACACTTTCCTGGCTCATGTTCTTCTTCAGGAAATCTGTAGAACTGTGCTGCGATCATCAGAGCATTCACATCACACTACGCCATTGTGCAACAGTCTAGATACAATGCGACCTTTGGTGCTGTGGAACTTGAGTCAGCAACACATTGAGTCTGATCCGTCCTCCTGGACAAGACTTGTGAATCACCTAATTGGAATAGATATGAGCAAGCACTCAAAGAAGAAAAGACAGTTACTCACTTCTGTAACTGTTGTTCTTTGAGATGCATTGCTCAGGTCTATTCCATACCCACCCTACTACCATATTTCCCCACTTTTGGAGTAGCTGGCAAGAAGGAACCTGAAGGGCAGTCAGGTCGATAGTCATATACAATGTGCCATTCTAGGTGGCTCCACAGCCGACCTGATGGATAGTAGCTAAGGTAAAACTTTCTGAATGTCATGCATGCGGTGTGCACATACCTAATTGGAATAGATATGAGCAACACATCTTGAAGAAAAACAGTTGCAAAGGTAAGTAGCCATCTTATCTTCTGAGTCACTCTAGGGCCATCATCTAGCTTCTTGGTGTTACTTACTTGTTAAAACAAGCTGGTTCATTTGCACAACCTGGAACTTTTCTGTGTGTTTAGGTTTTTTAATCTACTCTTTATATCTGTCAGTCTGTTGGCTATTATTTCGCTTCAAAGGACCACTGAGAGATCAGTCAGACAATCCCTACTGTATTTTCCACAGTGTTTGTCATCCTCTTACCAATATTTTTCTTGATGAAGGTAAATGTAACTTTCCACACTTACCAACAGATTGTTGCTATCCCTTTATTTAAATACTCAATGCCGTAAGAGAAAAAAGGTAGAATAAAAGGGCACTTGAAAAGTGGTTGAGACTTACTTGAATCAAATGAAGAAAATCATGTTTTTCTTGATATCTGAAATGTTTCTATTAAGCTATCCAATTTATCTGTAATGTTGATAATTCGCATTTTTGCACTAACATAACATCAACTTTCTGAAGGCCTATTTCAGAGGAGATAAAAATTCATTCAGAATCTCTCACTCCAGTTTTATGGGATAAGTGTGATTGGCCAACAGAAGAGAAATTTGCAAAGATCTACTTAATCTTTGCTCAAAGGCTTTATTAAGTGCTAGAGTTATGATCTATTTTTTCTTCTACAGAAGCAACCTTTGGCAGGAAATAATAGTCCCAAAGTAAACTACATTGTTATTGAAAAAAGGGAAATTCATTTAATTGTTTCTTTCCTTATTATTTCTGCATACTGCTCACTACATTCCATTTATAAATGGGGACAAGGTATGGAAAACTGGTTAATTGTTAAATTATTTTCTGTATTGACCTCTTCTCCAGTCTGTCAAATCTCTGAAATGTGTACACAGTTGTGTTGTTTTGAGGTTACTAAATAGAGAGTTCAGTTTTACACATTTGAAAGCTGTTCTGTAAGGCAGAAAGAAGGGTCATGGCTTAACCCCAGAGCAAGTCTGAACTGTCTTTAGTATAGGCAAAGAGAGAAGTAAAGCATATGATTATTAAAGTTAGTCCCTAAAAGGAAACAACCAGGTGTTGTAACACATACTCATTGTAATTTTGCAACTAAAAGCAGTAACAAGAGACTACTTTAAGAAGTAGTTATTCATTCTCCATATACCAAGTTGCACGTGTTTTCCATATAATCAACAGCACTTGAATAATTTTTTTTTTCGTGATAGGTTTCACCAGTTATCATCAATACTGTGATCACAATAACATCGGCACTATCTCCAACTACAGAGGCTGCAGAACAAGAGATTAGTCCAATTCCTCCAGACCTATGGGACAAGAAAGATATAAAAAAATTAAAAATGTGGTTTCTTGAAAAATCAAATGAAAATGAAAATAAAAATATAGCAACTGAGTTAGTTCTGAAAGGAGAGACATTAAATATGATAATTGAATCAGTCATTGTAACTCTTGAAGCTGGCGTTGGACACAGAACAGTACCTATGCTTTTAGCAAAGTCGTCATTTTCCGGAGAAGTAAAAAATTGGAGTACACTCATCAACCTCCATTCCCAGCTTGAACTGGAGGTAAGTATATAATATATATCATTTTCTCCAAAAGCACATGTAATAAAGATTATGAAAACGACTTGTTACTTATCAATAGTTTTTTTCATAAATCTTGTCTAAGTAAAATGGTTATTTTCATCTAACACTTAAATTTCATGGGAAAAAGGTGCCTTATGGAGCACAACCTTCCATCATACAGTATGTACAGAGTCCATTGTACTTAATAGCAACAACCCTAAGTTATGGAGCACAGATTCCCAAATTCCCTGGTAATGTTATTCTGTCACAAAATTACTACCCTTCAATCCCAACCTCTCTCACTACATGCAATTATGGCTCATAATAGAAAATACTTAAACACAAAATTCATCAGTTATTTCAGATAGAAATTATATTTGAGCATGGATTTTATTACATTTGTTTGCATTCCTGTAATGCCTATAGATACAACCAAGATCAGTTCTCTATTCTGCCAGGAACTGTCCAAATATAGGTGATGGAGATTATTTATAATATAATGCTCCATTCTGGCAAACACTTAAGTTCCACTGAAGTCAAATTACTGTTAGTGGGATACGGACATATATACATAAGACTTTCATGTAATGGGGAAAAAGATATAGAGTTCAATTTTCAAAGGCTCTGCAGTCTCATTGAAAATCTGTAGGACTTGATTTAGTGTCCTAATTTTGAAAATGGGATTTAGGACGAGATTATTAAAGATATTTATGCACCTAAAATTCAGATAGATACATAATGAGATTTTCAGGAGTACCTAGATATGTAACTCCCATTGATTTCAACAAGAGTTGAGCACCAATGCTGCTGCGCTTTTTTTTTTTTTTTTTTTTTAAATCCTACTGTGTTCATCTTTGGGCATTTACACACTTTTAAAATTCTGACCATTAGTACTTCGAAGATCTTTTTTCATATCCTACAAGCAAAGTAATTTGGAAATGTTTGTTAGTACAGCAGATGTTTGTTTGCAGCAACATTTTGAAAGAGCATTTGCTGCTTATGGACATTTCCTCTGTCAATACTCCTAATATCAGCCACAACCACTTAGGAGGAATGTAGCAAAAGAGCACTGATATGTTGCTGTTTGCAGCAACATTTTGAAAGAGCATTTGCTGCTTATGGACATTTCCTCTGTCAATCCTCCTAATACCAGCCACAACCACTTAGGAGGAATGTAGCAAAAGGGCACTGATATGTTGCTGTCAGCCAATCAGCAATGTGGAAGAGAATCCAGAGTAAAAATTATAAAAAACAATCTATTATCATGTAGCTCAGGAGTGGCCAACTCATGGCTCTCTAGCCACATGTGGCTCTTTGCTCATAGAAATGTGATTCTATTATTAGGGTTACCATACATCCAGTTTTTCTGGTTTTGCTTACCAGGATCCGCAGGGGAGCTGTCTGGCCCGGCGCAGGGAAGCATGATGGCTGGAGCCAGCCTGTTATGCCAAAAAGCCTCAAAAGTGTTTCTTAAAGGGCCACACTGTTTTTAATTGTTTTTTTTTAATCGTTTTTTGCTTAACTCTTGGGATCCTTATTTATTTATTTATTTATTTATTTTTTCTTGCTCAACATCTTTGGTCTCCCCCTTCTTTTTTCTCAACAGAATATTTTTCCCCGGTGGTTTTTTGGGGGGTTATGGGGAGTTTTTGGTATTTTTCGTTAAACCATCTGGCAACCCTAGATTCTAGAGGGAAGTTTTTTGTAATCAGTGCCTGTAGAGGGAAGGTTTTTAAGCTCTCTTGCAGGCCCTCACCTTCTGCACTTGCAGTGCCAGAGTGGGGAACAGCCCTGACAATATCCATGGCACAATCTTAATCTTACTCTTCACACCCCCTTGTCACCATCCTGTGGTGCTTCTGAAGGTTGACCAGGTATTGTGTTATCAAATTAAACTTACTTCATGTTTTCAAGTTTATCACCACAATCAAAAGGGCTGGAAACATCTTAGTCCGGTTATCAAATGTTTCTGAATAGTATAATGTAAAATAGTGTTGTAATGCTCTCGTGTTTTTTCATTAGACACGGATATTTTGATATAATACTCATTTTTGAGATTTGTACCTATCTCTTATAACACTTTCATTTCACCTTTCTTTCCTTAATTGTTAGCCCACATGGATAGACTTCCTTTGAGACTTGAGGAGAAACTTGAGCTAATGTGGACCTTCTGTTACCTTAAATGGGGATTACTGAGTATAGCATCTAGGGCAGGAAACTGGATACCAGAGTTGTTTTTTAGGCTTTGTCATTGAGTTGCTATGTAAATATGCCTATGAGACTCTGTTTACCTAAATATAAACTAAGGATGATATTACTAATCTGACTCACAGGATCATAGAATCATAGAATACTGGGACTGGCAGGGACCTTGAGATGTCATCGAGTCTAATCCCCTGCCCTCATGGCAGGACCCAGTACTGTACACCATCCCTGATAGACATTTATCTAACCTACTCTTAAATATCTCCAGAGATGGAGATTCCACAACCTCCCTGGGCAATTTATTCCAATGTTTAACCACCCTGACAGGAAGTTTTTCCTAATGTATAACCTAAACCTCCCTTGCTGCAGTTTAAGCCCATTGCTTCTTGTTCTATCCTTAAAGGCCATGAAGAACAATTTTTCTCCCTCCTTCTTGTGACACCCTTTTAGATACCTGAAAACCACTATCATGTCCCCTCTCAATTATCTCTTTTCCAAATTAAACAAGCCCAGTTCTTTCAGTCTTCCTTCATAGGTCATGTTCTCTAGACCTTTAATCATTCTTGTTGCTCTTCTCTGGACCCTCTCCAATTTCTCCAAGTGCGGTGCCCAGAACTGGACACAATACTCCAACTGAGGCCTAATCAGCACAGAGTAGAGCAGAAGAATGACTTCTCATGTTTTGCTCCCAACACACACGCATCCTGGAATCATGTTTGCTTTTTTTGCAACAGCATCACACTGTTGACTCATATTTAGTTTGTGGTCCCTAGATGCCTTTCTTCCTGTACTCCTTCCTAGACAGTCGCTTCCCATTCCATATGTGTGAAACTGATTGTTCCTTCCTAAGTGGAGCACTTTGCATTTGTGTTTATTAAACTTCATCCTGTTTATCTCTGACTATTTCTCCAATTTGTCCAGATCATTTTTAATTATTACCCTATCCTCCAAAGCAAGCAAAGGATGGTTGTGAGGATTAATGTTATGCATTTTGAGATGCCCAGATGAGAGCAGACAGATATTCAAAGTACTGTGTGTCATTTACTATTGCATAATAGGCGATAAAAGAAATGTGTATTCACTGGTCAGCATTTTCTGTTGACACATCCTTCTTTTTCTGGGTGTGTGGCATGGGCATATGAATCTGTGCAGAGCTGCTTAAATCCAAATGACTAAAATATTTTTCACGAACTGGATCAACAGCTTGGAGCAGGAGAGCTCTTGCACCATGTTTCCAGTATTCAGCCTTACTAATTGTGTTGTGCACTGAGCTCAAGGTTTGACCCTATACAAAAAATAAAAATGGAAAGTATGACCAACTTTTTCCAAAAACACATACTACATTAAAGGCAGATAATGAATTTTTCCATATTCTATTTCCACATAAGCAGTTATAATAGTTGCCAGATTGATTGCAGCATAATTATGAACAGGATAGAAAATGGTCACTTAGCCAATATCTCTTACACATTATGAAAGACTGTAAGAAGCCCTGGATTAGAGAATTGCTAATTGGATACAGAAACTTTTTAATGCTAGACCAATTACTCAGATTTAGAGCTGGAAAAGTAAGTAGAAAATTAAATCTGTTACCAGCAGATGGCAGTTTTATAGCCTGTGTGAAGTTGGTAGGTGTTTAGCTCAACTTATTCTGGACTTGTATCTGCATCAGTTGTTCTATTGACATGCTTCTCAACAGTACCAAAGATGAAATGGTTATGTAGAGAAGAACTTATTCTGATGGTTCTTATTGATTATAGTTGAGGCACATATATATATATATAAATGAGTTTTGAGGAAGCTTGTGCTGCTGCTTCAAGAATATGCTTGTTTTGAGTTGTATAAGTAAAAGATTTCAGTCCCTAATTCCCATTTACTACCTTTATTCAGGTTTAGAACCTTACTCATTGATTTCTGTGAGGATACTTGAGGTATAAAGTGCTACTCAATTTGAATAAAGGGGTAGAATTTAGTCCATGATGACAAGCATGAAATTCCTTCTAAATAAACAACATAATTCAAAGTAGGGATGTTAAATTGTGTTTAATTAGCTAATTGAGTAGTCAATGAAATTTCCATCAGCTATTCAATTAGTTGATAAGGGGAGAAACTGCAGAGCTACACCGTGGTTAGCTCCTGCCCCTTAGAGCTAACCCCGCTGTGGCTCTGCCTTTTAAATGTATTAAGAGCCTGGCAGCTCTTAATTCATTTAAAAGGCAGAGCTGCAGCCCGTTCTCCCCAGCTGTACCTATGCCTCCCACCGCAGAGTCAGCTCCCCCAGCACCGGCTCCCACTCTCCCTTCCCCTCCCCCTTCCCCCTCCTCAGAACCTTCCTTACTGCCTCTTTGATAGAAGTAGCAAGGGGTGGAGGGGAAGTGACTGGTCCACTAGTTGCTTACATCCCTAATTCAAAGACTCATCTACCTATATGTGGAAAACAGTTAGGGTGAAGTCCTGGTACCAGTGAAGCCAGTGACAAAAGTCCCACTGACTTCACTGTGGCCAGGATGTCAGTCTCATTGTTTTTTCATACTTTATTTGAATTTTACCTAAAGGCTTATTTAAATTTTTTTTGTTTTCTAATATAATGAAAAAACATGTTATGTCTTATTTTGAAGTTTGTGTGAGTCGGTAGATTATCTTTTATTTGCTGTTGGTTCTAGGTGTATCTTAATTCAGTAGTCTGATTTTATATTTCTTTAGGTACATTACTATAATGAGATGTTTGGTGTGTGGGAACCTTTGCTTGAGCCACTAGAAATTGAAAAGAGTGATGAATTCAAGCCATGGACTCTTGGAATCAAGGTATATTTTCAGAAGCAAATTGAAACAACTGACGTACAAATTTACATTTTAAATAACTTTTGGGTTAAAAAGTGAATCAGTAGACTAAGAGTGTTTGAATGTAAGGTTAATACCCTGTGTGTCAAGCGTATAGAATGCAGGGTAGGCCACAAGGATAATATAACTCTGACTACATATATAGTTTGCCAAAAGTGAGTGATGACTGACCACACTTTTCCCCTTCTCTGCATTGTTATAACTTCAGCATGTACAGGCATGATTAACTTGGAGGGGAGGGGGAGCGGAAATTATCTACATAATGCAATATAGTGATAATTCCACAATTACTACTCACTTGCCAAAGTATGTGTTTATAACTTCATTTTTAAAGCATTTTAATACAAAAAAGAAAAACTTCCTTGTCATTAAGCCAGCAATTCTCCTTTACAATGCTTAAGCCAACAATTTTTCTTTGGGTAGATGCAACCGTGTATTTCGTGTGTGTGTGTGTGTGTGTGTGTGCACGCGTGCGCGCAGGATGCTAGAGCTAAAGAATTTGCCTAGCAGAATCCGCAGAGGAGTGGCACTTGTGCCCTATTGCTGCAGTCCTTCCCCTGGCTCTGAGGAGGCACTGCTCTGACAACTCCTATAATATATGGAGATATACCTATCTCATAGAACTGGAAGGAACCTTTAGAGGTCATTGAGTTCAGTCCCCTGCCCTCACGGCAGGACCAAGTACCATCCATGACAGATTTACTCCAGATCCCTAAAAGGTCCCCTCAAGGATTGAACTCACAACACTGGGTTTAGCAGGCCAATGCCCGAACCACTGAGCTATCCCTCCCCCTGGGTTCTTTCTTACTACCTAAAACTCGAGTTGGAGCTCTCTCTGGTTTCAATCTCTCAAGCCTCTGTTCAGTGAATTTTTTCTAATTCTGCATAGTTCATTAGTAACCCAGGATAATGTTAGATGTAGTTTGTCTCCTAATGATGCCTTCTCCAGGGTTTAAGCATTGTCTGTTGTGTGGATACAGCGAACCCTACTAACTCCCTACACACAATGCTAAGTATACCTAGGCAAAGCCCACCTCAAGAGGAAGTGTTTGATTTGCACATTGTTCACATAACACTCAACTGGTGAGGAATCTCTGTCCGAAGCAGCACCTGCTCTAGCATGCCATGCAGGCCGTTTTAATACCAACGCCCTTATCAAATCATAAGTTATCTTTGGATATGGAAAATGCTGCTGCTTCACTTCTTGGAGGTTGCATCTCTCCAAAGAGATTGAGTTGTTCCCCATCATGTGTGCTGAGGAAGAGGTCACATAAGAGCAAGCAATGCCACTAGAGGTCCTGTGGGAATTTTTCTCCCTCCTTCAGAAAGAATATGGATTGGTACATGGTAAATGTTGGTGAATGGGATGGAATGGGTCCTATTAGATGCTCCTCTTCACCACGTAGTGAGGTTAGAAACTCTGTACCATTGACTGGTTTCTGGCCCAAAGGTGTCCTTTGAATCTGGTACTGCCAGGCATGATGTTGGCATGCCAGTGTATCAGGCAACAACAACCTCCTCTGTCCTTGATAGCCCTGTTGGCTGGACAAGCTGCGAAACTTGTGGGTCCTGGTGTTTCTCTTCCACACGAAGGAGAAACAGGTCCAGTACCGTACTTCATGTAAGTGACCTCCTTGGCACTGGCAACATCTTCAGTTCCTCCACTGACAGCACTGCAATGTTGCCAAAGCAGCAGTCACTGCCCTGCATCTTGACATTCTGAGTTACTGCAGTGTTGTCAACTTCAGGATCAATAGCATCCAAGTACCGGAAATAGGGCAGGTGTACTCACTGCTAGCAGTACCATTTCCACCCCTAAATATCAGCTCCCACATCCAACTGACTACACACATCCTCAGAGCTGTCCCTCTGATTCCTCAGTGTCTAAATGGATGGAAAAGCATGTTTAAAAGATAGCTTCCTGAGCAGACCAGCTCCCGCCTGCTGCCTCGCACTGCTGCCTCTGATACAGAGGCAGCGGTAGCAGCCCCTGTGCATGGGAGGTCTGAGCTCAAAATGTCTCAGACTGAGGCAGAGATTATTCCCAAAGAGAAAATGATTGATTACATAATTTCCCTTTTACTTTTTTGGTTAATTTAATCTGATGGCCTTTTTAGATGAAAAAGAAGGCTAAAAAAGTACTGGATTCAGATGCTGAAGAACACTACAAAGTGCCAGAGTATAAAACAGTAATAAACATCTCCTCAAAAGACCAACTGAATATTACACTATCCAAATGTGGACTGCAAATGTTGAGTAACCTGGGCATGGTAAGAAATATCACTTATCTATTTACATGGGACATCCTCACAATCAAGAAATTGTGTTAGCTTGGATTACTTTTTATACAGGTAATCCAGATTTAAATAACACTTTGGTATTTAATACTGTTTGGAGTTATATGTGCTTGTAAATAGATATTTAAAAATATTTTGTTTGTTTAGGCATTTGCTGAAGCAGCTAGCAAAACTGCAGACGTTTTCAAAAAAGATCAAGCACCATTTGTAATAATGAATTGCTTGGGACTTCCCATCACTGTCTCACCCAGTGATTCCTTTCATGTCCTGAATGTTGAGTCTGGAGCAAAAACATTTCATTTAAAAGATGGAGAAAGTCTACATATGGATTTTTTGAGAACTAAAAGTGAGAGTGACCAGTTCACAGCAATGACCACGCTAAGCAGCAAAATGTTTTACATTCAGCTCAGTAAGTTGGATAATTAATATTCTGGTTTTTTTATACGTAAGTACAGGTTGAACCTAAAAAATTCAGGATTCTTTGATCCTGCAAATTCGTGATTCGGAGGGACCACACACATTGCAGGAGCAGAGAGCCCCAGCTGCTCAGATCCAGGAGCTGGTGGTGGGAATCACAGTCCTGGCAGTAGCAGGACCTGCACAGTGGAGAGCATAACCCGGGCTGGGACTTGTGACAGGTGACAGGGAGCATAGCCCCAGCTGGGAGCGCAGCCCTGGCAGCAGCAGGGCCGACACAGCAGAGCACACGGCCCTGCCCGGCCGGTGACAGCAGGGCCAGCAGCTGGGAGCACAGTCCCATCTGTGCCTGTATAGCTGGGGAGCGTAGCCCCACGTGGGCCTGAGGCAGCAGAGCCAGTGCCCAAGAGTGCAGCTGGGCTGGCGGCAGGAGTGCAGACCCACTAGGGTCAGCACGCTAGGGAGCTTAGCTCCAGCCCTGGCCAAGAAGGCAGGGTGAGGGTCCGTGGGTCTGGGATGGGAGATGGGCCAACAGCCAGGAAGGGAGCCTTGACCTTCCTGGTTGGACAAACTCCATGGTTAGGGTCTGCTGAGGTCCCAAGGATGCCAGATCAGGGAGGTCTCATCTGTAGTTCATCTTCCCAGTGAAGAAGATAACGCAAGTTTCATATGGTTTTTATTCATATATTTTTTATTAGTTGAAAGGGACAATTTCTGGCTTTCCAATGATATAGCAGTATCTGAAATCTTACTGTAGAGTCGCATCAGATTTGTTTTGTGTGTGGGTTTTTTGCTTTGTGTGTATTTAGTGTTGTCCCCTGGTTTATTCTATGCCATAGTAATTTAGGCCCCAATTTTTGAACAGGCCTTGTCTCAGTCTCTGATTTTTGTGTCTAGAAACAAGTAGTTCAATCTTTGTTTGCGTATACAACTTCAAATGTAAAAATGTGCCCCAAAATTTGTGGGCATTTATGTATTGTCCTTCTGGAAAGGGTTCTTTTTAATAAAGGTTTTTAATAAACTTAAAATGATTTATTAATTCAAAAATAATGAACCTATTTTAATGCTGCATAGCTTTCAATTCAATAACTTTGTTAATAATAGTTTATTACGAACTTTGGAACTTTTCAGAATAGGTGTTAGTGTCTTTAGCCACTTACTTCGTTATTCCCATGAAACATTGACTGAAGCTAGTCTGCTGCTAAGCAACTCTTGCACCACAGCAATAAACCCTTCTTTTTAAAAAAAAAAAAAAAAAAAAAAAGGTGCAAAACATATGCGAGTCACCAGTCTTTACAAACTGTTTTGATGATTTGTAGTGATTAAAGAAAACTACTCTGCAACTTTATTTCTAGGAGATTGCTATTCCGATCAGAAATAGTATGGTTCTATATTACATTTTGTAAACCAGTGAATATTCTTCAATCAACATTCTTGAGCACAGAATTTTTAATTGCTGTTTTTTCAAATATATGTACATACGTGTTTGATTGTTTCGTTAATAACTTAATGTATTTTTTCAACTTTGAGGTCCTCAGAAACATTCCACTGCTGACAAGATTCCATTGACAAAAGTGGGTCGATGTCTTTACAGAGTAAGACATGAGGAGTCGGGTGTTGAAAGATCCATTGTTTGTCAAATTGATACAGTTGAGGGGACTAAGATGATAACTGTACGTTCTCCTGTACAGGTAATACAGTTCTCTTAAAATACCTTTTTATTAAGACTGTTAATCTGGGTTACTTTGTTTACTGTAATTTCACATCACTCACATTTACAACCATGTTTTAAGAACAGTTACTGATAAGACAGTCTGCACTAGAACAGTTTTATCAGTGTGGACTGGATTTGGTTTAGCAGTTACAAATAATCATTAGAGATATTGTATAGTACTTGCACTATACTATGTATCATGGTAGAAAAACCCCATTCACACTGACCAGGAAAACAGCCATAACATAGTTTCAAATATTATGAGGACAAGAACATAAGGTTATTTTCACCTATTCCATGTATGAATGTGAGTTTCTATTCTCTTTTCCCTGACAAGTTGTGGAATAGTCATGGAGGAAGCCGATTCCATAGATGGGAATGGGACTATTTTGCCTTAAGTCGTGATCCTTCTTTGAAGTATTTGCGTTGCATCTCTACCTGCAAATATCAGAAATAGTTCAGATATCACCACTTATCTCTGGGATTTAGCTGTGCCCTTTCAACCTTCTGAAGCAGAAACTTCACCTCTAGAGCTGTAAATAAATTGACAATTTAGGGCACCTACTTTGCCATCACAATCCTAGTTCTAAAACTGATCTCAAAACAGCAATAAGCAAAATCAGTACACTTATTTTTTAATCCCTTAGGGAAGTGGTTCTCAACTGCTGGTCCACTGACTGGTGCTGTGCCGCAAGCCGCCAGCTGCCGGGCCGTGGCACGCTGCTAGGCCACGCCCCATGACTTGATGATTGGCTTGGCAGGGTTCTCTGTAAGCTATGCAGCAGTGTTGCTGCACAGCTCCTAATTGAGCCCTGCCTGCAGAAAGCTTCCTGACTGGGAGAGGCACTCACTCAGCAGCAGAAGCTCCCTGCTCCGAGTCCAGCCAAGAGTGTGCTGGTAGGGAAGAGGACAAAAGAGGGGAGGAGAGAGGGATGAGGGAATAAGGATGTGGCTGGGATAGGAGGAGCACAGTACACCTCTTCCCTCTCTCCAGCTACAGCCTCATGTTTTGTTGGGCTGCTTTAATAAAATACTCTGGGTAGCTAGCGATGTGTTATATGATTTTTTTTAAAAGTGGAAAGCAAATACTTTGGGGGGAGAATAATAATTAAAAAATCCAGTACAATTACATGTGTTGTGTGCATACAGAGGCAATGTAAAATAACATGTGACCACTTAAAATTAATTACCATAATGAATATGCAAATGTTTCTATACCTGTCCACCAAAAGTTTTTGAATGAGTTTTCTGGGCCATGGTATAAGAAATGATGGGAACCACTACCTTTGGGGATCAGATCTCCAGAGCTGTCCTTTGAATGCACATCTCCTAAGCTCAGTTTTCCTTTTTGCTTGCTCATCCCTAATGTCTCAGATTTTGGAATAGGTTGGTATTAGGGATGTTAGATATTGGATAATTGAATAGTTGTGTAACTACACAAAATATTGTCAGTTACATGATTATTTGATAGTCCCTGAGGGCAGGGCTGGCAGCCAGCATGTTCCCAGCCCCACTCCCGGGGATCCCTCTGCCATCCCATGCTGCCAGTGCAGGCTGGCAGGCGGGAGCCAGTCCGCAAATGTAGCCAGTTTAAAAACCAGCTTCCTGTGCAGACCTGCTGCCCCATTCTGCTGCCTCTGTATCAGAGGCAAAAGCCCCTGTTCATGGGAAACCTAGCTCCCCATGGACAGAGGCTGCTGCAGGAGAGGGGTAGCAAGGGAGACTAGTGCAAAGTGTCAGACCCTGGCCCAGCAGCAGCCCTTGACCTCAGGGGTTCTGAACTCCCCGCAGACAGAGGCTACTCCGCTGGAAGCTTGGGCCCAGCGTGGACAGAGGCTGCTTTGCGTAGGGTTGCCAGATGGTTTAACTAAAAATACTGACATCCTCCCCCCCAAAAAGGGGAAAAAATTCTGTTGAGGAAAAAAGGGCAAGGGGAGACCAAAGTTGTTGAGCAAAAAAGAGGACCCTGAGAGTTAAGCAAAAAAAACCCACAGCATAGCTCCTTTAAGAAAAGCCTTTGAAGCTTTTTGCTGGTGGCCATCTTGTTTTCCTGATTGAGCCAGAAGACAGCTTTCATGCAGAACCAGGTAAGTGGGGGAGCCCGGTTGCTGAGTGTGTGTAGGGTTGCCAGGTGTCTGGTATTTTTGCTTCCTGGAAGGGGGGAAAAATCAGAAAATACCAGACATTTTGGGTGCCTGGTATTTTCTGAATTTTTTTTACCAGACAGGAGGCAAAAATACCGGCCTGCCTGGGTCAGTACCGGACACCAGCAACCCTAGCTTTGCAGCAGCCTCTCCTCCCCTACTGCACTCTTCCCACGCTGCTGCCTGTCATAGAGAGCATTGTTAGTGGACTAACGATTATTGTAATAAGTTAAATCCAGTGTGTCTGTTAAGTCTTTAATATTTAGTGTCATAGAGGCAGCAGCGTGGGGGTGGGCTGGTGGCACCATGGAGCCAGTACTAGGGGAAATCTGCTTTTTTTTTTTTTTTTTTAATGTATCATTTATTAGAGGTATTCTTGCCCTTCCTTGAAAGCTAACTTCTTTAAGTTTATTTCCTTAAAGGGAGCTTACATTGGAATGCTAATTCTACTTAATTCTTGTTCATGGTAAAATGGTTTTAGGCTAGAGTATTTATCAAGAATCAATTCTTTAAAAAAAATTATGTAGAATATTTACAGGGACAACGTGGTTTAAGTAGTATCTTTTATTGGACCAACTTCTGTTGACAAGTCTTCAAGCTTACACAGAGCTCTTCTTCAAGGGGAAGCATTATCAGAGTTTCACTGCTAAATACTGTTGAAAGACCCTGAAATGGATTTTAACCATTTAAAAGCTCATGATCCTTAGGGTTAGGGTTATATATTTGTGTTTAGTCTCTAAGGTGCCACAGGACTACTCATTGTTCTTAGCAGATGTAGTTAACACATATTTCCAGAGATTTAAAAGCGAAGTGGCCCACTATCTCCCTTCCAATCATAGGAGACAAAAGGAGGCGGGGAAGTCAGCAGGAGAGGGCATTGTTAGTGGGCTAAAGATTATTGTAACAAGTTAAATCCGGTGTGTGTGGTCAGTCTCTAATATTTAGAGTCTAACAAAGTTATGAAGGTAGGCTCTCTTGGTCATTTTTTCAAAGTGTTGTGCAAGTTTACTATGAGAATGAGCTCATACATAGTGAGCTTGTCTGAAGTAGTGGGTTTAGCCCACGAAAGCCCATGGTTATCTGTACATTTTTGTTAATCTCTAAGGTGCCACATGACTACTCGTTCTTTCTGAAAATTATTCACCCAGAGGTGATACTGTGTTTGAATTTTAGCATGTTTCTGTGTGGGTTCATTGAGATTGGAATGATTTTGTTTTCACCCATATAATCATTGGCTCATTTAGTGCACCAAATGTGGTATATCACATATTGCAATTGGGCATGCGTAGAATCTATGGATCTTGAAAGATGTCTTGTGAGAGGTGTTGGTCATTGTAGCAGTAGAGGTATGGCTATAGGTTTTACATCTGTTGCTCGGTGTGGGGTGGTGCTGCTTTGTGTTAGTGTGTGGCCTGCTCTGTGGAGAGCTTGCTTTTGATCATGAGCTTGGAGAGGTTGAGGGATTGTTTGAAGACAAGGGGTTTTAGGAAAGATTTTTTTTTTCAGGGTAGGGTGCCAATCGAGTATGGGTTATGGCTGTCTGATACCGTATATGGGATAGTAGGTGACAACTAGGGATGTATGGTTAGAAGGGAGTTTTATTTTTGTAATGAAGCAGATGTGATCTCCTATTTTGGGGAGTGTCCTTGTTTGGAGAAAACAGTGCAGAATGTGTTAAGATCTATATCCTTGATTTTCACCTCTGCAAATATTTTGTAATATCAGAGTGCCTGATTTTAGCTACTAAATTCATTGGTGTATTTGGAATGGCTACTGGATATCCATTGTAAGTAATTTTTCATTCTCCATTTGACAATAATGGAAATATTTTACATCTTTGAGGTTTTTATTAATGTAATTCATGCAGACTTTTATTTTATACAGATAAAGAATCATTTCTCAGTTCCACTGAGTCTTTTTGAAAACGGAACATGTCTAGGAACTGCTTCACCAATAAACGAATTTAACATACCACTGACCTCTTACAGGTGAGTATTTACATTTTTAATACAGAATGTACTGTCATAAGTGATGATAGCTAATCTAGTAAATAAAAAGACAATTTATAAAATATGTTTTAATTGAAAATTCAACAAGGTTTCCAGGCTTTATTCTTTTCATTGTTGAAAGTTTTTAGGGATGATACAGAAGCAGCCTTACCATGTCATTCTAAAATTTTTATTGCTCCTCAAAGTTAAATAAGCTAAGTATTTAGAAGGGAGTAATTCCAAGTCTGGGTCTCTTTGTTTAGGGTAGTTGGACACCTAATTCCCATTGACTGCTTTGAAAATCCCAGTGCAAGAGCTCCAGGGAATTATTATGGTCACCCGCTATAAGGAATAGTTTCTATACTTGATTGAATAATTAGGTTTGATAAGATTGAAATTGTTTCTACTCCTCTCATTTTCACTTTCATTAAACATTTTGCTGCATTTATTGTAAATACTGGAGTTAAATTATATGTCAAAGCCCTTTATGTGTCTCCAATAATCACTACTTTCCAGTGATAGAAATGTAGCCGTGTTAGTCTGGGGTAGTTGAAGCAAAATGCAGGACAATGTAGCACTTTAAAGACTAACAAGATGGTTTATTAGATGATGAGCTTTCGTGGGCCAGACCCACTTCCTCAGATCAAATAGTGGAAGAAAGTAGTCACAACCATATATACCAAAGGATACAATTTAAAAAAATGAACAAATATGAAAAGGACAAATCACATTGCAGAACAGAAGGGGGATGCGGGGGGGTGGGAAGGGGGAGGAAGGAAGGTAAGTGTCTGTGAATTGCTGATATTAAAGGTAGGGAGAGTGGGATGTTTGTGAGTTAATGGTATTACAGGTGATAATTGGGGAAACTGTCTTGGTAATGGGTGAGAAAGTTCAAAGACTTGTTAAGTCCTTGTTGGTAAGTGTCGAATTTTAACATGAATGACAGTTCAGAGGATTCCCTTTCAAGTGCAGATGTAAAAGGTCTTTGTAGCAGAATGCAGGTGGCTAAGTCATTTAGAGAGTGTCCTTTCTGGTTAAAGTGGCAAGAAACTGTTTTCTCTTTGTGATCTTGTCTGATATCTGTTTTGTGGGCATTAATCCTTTGGCGAAGTGTCTGAGATGTTTGTCCAATGTACATAGCAGACGGACACTTTCGGCACATGATAGCGTAGATTATATTTCTGGATGCGCAGGAATATGTGTTCTTGATCTTATAACTCACTTGGTTAGGTCCAATAATGGTATCAGCAGAATGAATATGTGGACAAAGCTGGCAACGGGGTTTGTTGCAAGGGAAGGTACCAGGGTTGGTATTAGTGTGGTATGTCCTGTGGTGGTTGGTAAGAATCATCTTGAGGTTAGGTGGTTGTCTATAGGAGACTATGGGTCTGTCTCCCAGAGCCTCTTTGAGTATGGTATCCTGTTCCAATATAGGCTGTAGTTTATTGATAATGTGTTGGACAGGTTTAAGTTGGGGGTTGTAGGTGATGACAAGTGGTGTTCTATTGTTGGTTTTCTTGGGTCTGTCTTGAAGTAGATGGTTTCTAGGTATTCGTCTGGCTCTTTCAATTTGCTTTTTTGTTTCTCTGGGTGGGTAGTTGAGATTTATAAATGCTTGGTAGAGATCCTGAAGCTTCTGGTCTCTGTCAGTGGGGTTAGAGCAGATGCGGTTGTATCGAAGGCCTTGGTTATAGACGATGGATCGTGTGGTGTGTTCTGGATGGGAGCTGGATGCATGTAGGTAACTGTATGAGTCGGTGGGTTTTCTGTAGAGAGTGGTGTCTAATTTTCCATTGTTGATTTGTACGGTGGTGTCCAGGAAGTGGATCTCTCGTGTAGAATGGTCCAGGCTGAGGTTGATGGTGGGGTGTAGGTTGTTGAAATCTCTGTGGAATATCTCCAGTGTTTCTTGGCCATGTGTCCAGATCATAAAGATGTCATCGATGTACCGTAGGTAGAGGAGGGGTGAAAGGGGACGGGAGTTGAGGAAACGTTGTTCTAGGTCAGCCATAAAGATGTTAGCATACTGTGGGGCCATGCGTGTACCCATGGCTGTGCCGCTGATCTGGAGGTATAAGTTGTTCTCAAACTGGAAATAATTGTGGGTGAGAACAAAGTTACATAGGTCTGCTATCAGGTTGGCAGTAGTGTCCTCTGGGAGGTTTTGTAAAGGGGTGCACTGTGCATACCACTCAGAGCCCTTTGGTTAGAAGCATGTTTTGCTTTCTGTTTCAATACCTTTTTTGTTTTAATTTTATGTTGCAAAATGCTTGTTTAAATGAACAAATCCTGTAAATAATATAATATTGACTTTTTTGGTATTCAAATTTCTATTTTACAAAGTTTGTTACTGGAAGAGTAGAAAATGTTTACAAATGTTTTCATTTGCAGATCAGCACTTTGTTTGCAACCAGTAACTGATGAAAATGGAATTGGTGGAGAATATGAGATGTGTGAAGGAATTAGCTTTGATGAAATTATGAAAAATTTTGGCAAGTTAATACAGAGGAAATGTCAGTCAGTGAAATCATCTAATCATTCACTTATTATTAATGTTGTGCCACTAAAAGATACCTTGATATCCTCAGTATGTGCAGACGATAGATGGGATTTGCCATATGTTATTCATTTATGGCCCTCACTCCTTCTTCGCAATCTTCTTCCTTATCCAATTACTTACTCTCTAGAGGTAATTTTTACAATTATTGTTTTTATGCTGTATAATTTAGTTGAAAGTAAATATTCTTTTATGGGCAGGCCTAAACAGGCACAGAAATGTTTATGCTGCTTTATCAGTTAAACTAACTATAGATATTTTAGAGATGTTGTTTGGTCTGTTGGGGAGAAACAGATACTATAGTATGAAAGATACTATAGTATGAAAGATACTATCCTGAGCCATAAATACATTGAATATATGAAATGCAGGCAAAGAGAAACTTCTAGACTTCCACTCTAGACAAGTTTAGCAACATACATATTAATTTTGCCATATGAGACTCCATTTGACTAATAAATAAAGCTGGATCCTACTAACTCTTCGCAATGTAAATGTTCAGGGTCCTTTTTCATGTGGACAATGTCTGTTTCTGGAAACGATGACATCAGTAGGCCTATGTTCAGTGTATTACAGGAGAAGGGCAATGGAAATTTAGATGGGAGACACCAAAAATAAACATCAGGTGTACAAATAATAAACTTTGTTTGGAGAAGTGTTGTCAGAACTCATCTAAATGACTCTCTCAAGTAGAGACTATTACTTGTAATACAAATAAGAGCAACAGAGAAAAAGTTTTCTACATTTGTCATTCTATCAAATTCTAGAGACAGGTTCAGTTAAAGTACTTCCTCCAAAAAGTACTTCCTCCTACGTCAGCCTGTGAATAGGTCCTTCAGTTGAACTCTGTGATTACTTTAAATGCCCTATAGATAACTGGTAGAATTTTAAATGATTTAGAAGTCTAAATCCCACTGAAAGCCATTTTATGAATGGGTACTTAATTTACCTTTTTCATCTTTGTTTTAAAATAGTGTGGTAGTTATAGGTTGGTTATTGAGAGTCATTGTTTACATAATGACCGTTAAAAATATAGAGGTCTCCTCCAGAAAAGAAACATTCTTTTGACACTGAAGTGCTTCTTAATTGGAATAATGTGAAATTTTCCTTTTTTGAGAAACAAGTGGAATCTGCTATATGTGTTTTTTCAATGCCAGGTCTGGTTGGTAATTGAAAAGATAAATTACAGCTTCTAGTGTTGATTCCAATCTTATTTCAAAGTTGAGTTGCATGCCATGTACAGTACTGGTTTTAGTCCCAGATGATTTTGGCCATGCTAGAACCCTCAGTAATTTTTGTTATAGTTTATCACACACTTTTGCTTTGAATAATTAAGGCATGTTTCTAGTCTGTCTTGAATTACTGTCCAATGTTTCAAACAATATCTTGTAGACAAAAGTTGGTTGATAATAAGGGGCAATTTTATGTCAGCACCAATGGGTTTTAATAGCTGGGTTCCTCAAATATCTACTGTATTCCTAGTGTTGGTTGATGTATATATGAGGTCACTCAGTGGTAATTATTTTTTAATCCCATATAAAATATATGGGGTTTTCAGATGAATACAAATAAATTAATCCAAAATGAAGGAACTTCATAACTGTGTAATTATTTATCATTAATTAGATAATTCAAGAATGAATATAATTGTGATGACTGCTAGAGAAATTTTTCTCCAATGCGTTGAGTAAAAAATGCAAAATCTTAATATTTTGTGGTGTTTTAATAACTGTTTTTCATAACAATTTATTATTTATCATTTATTAATTTTGAATGACCAAAATGTGCTAAGAACTGCATAAACATATAAGAGACATTCCTTGCAAAAAATTAATAAGTTAAAAAAAAAAAATATGAGGGAAAAGAGAAAGGAGAGAGAATATACAGTAAACTTCCGATAATCCAGCACCTTTAGGACCCAGGGGGTGCCGGATTATCAAATTTGCCGGACTATCGGAAGGGGGGCTATGAGGGGTCTGGAGTGGAGTGGAGGGGGAAGGGATGCACCCCTCAGCGCTGTGGGACCAACTTGGCAGAACCCCAGTTGTTCTGCTCCAGACTTCCCCAAGTCAGCCGCTGCTAAAACTGACCAGCGACTGACTCCGGGAAGCCTGGGACAGAGCAGCTGATTGCTGCCGGGTTGGTCCCCCAGCACCGAGGGGTGGCACTAGGGGACCAACCTGGCAGCATCCCAGCTGCTCTGCTCCAGGTGTCCCCAAGTCAGCCGCTGCTGAAACTGACCAGCGGCTGACTCCAGGAA